TACTTTTTATCTCTCAATCCACTCTTTCCTTAACAGATAAATCTCCTGTGAATTTGTCATTGTTTAAGTAATCCCCAAGGAATTTTTCTAACACTCTCTCAGATACTACAAGAGTTTTGTGACTTTTTAAAATTTTACATGAAATCAATTTAATTTTACTTTGAGATTTCCATAGCTACAAGTTAAAATGAAAACCAGACAAGATGAGCAATAAACAATGTTATTGAAGTACATATTCATTCATTCATTTGCTGTCAGCAAATATTTGAGTGCCTCCTTCATTCTAGGCAATAGCAGTGAACAAAACGAAAATCTCTGCCTTCACGAAGCACATCATAGCTCAGATGAAGACTGGTTAACAAACAAGTATATAAGAAACCAAACAGAAGTAAGTTTTCATAGAAAAGAATAAAGTAAGCTAAGGAATTGAAAGTGCTGGGAAGAGTATTATTATTTTATATAGAGTAGTTAGAAGACTCTTTCCTAAGGTGACATCTGAAGGAAATAAGTGAATCATGGGATTACCAGGGGGTACAATATTCCGAAGAACAGCAAATGCACAGGCCTTGAAGTGGGAAAATGTGCCTGATATTGTTGTGGAATATGGAGTGTAATTAGCCAAGGGGAAAGAGTCCCAGTGAGATCCTGTGGGGCCCTGGAAGGATGTGAGCTTTTTCTCCGAGTGAAATGGGAAAAATTGGAGGCTTCTGAGAAGTGATTACCATGTTGAGGGGGATGGCAAGGAGACCATTTAGGTATTTACTGCAATATGACAGTGACTTACATTAGAGTGGTAGTTTGTATTGATTTTGCAGGTAGAATAATGGTAGAATCTGCCCATGGAGTGAGGTATTGAGAAGAGTAACCCAAGGTTTTTTACTGAGTAACTGGAAGAATGGAAATTGCCATTTACCTTAGTGGGAAAGACTGTAGAGTTGATCAGAGGGGGGAACTAAGTTCAGCTTCAAATATGAATTGAGATACCTTTTAACTTCTAATTGTACAGGTTTGATTTTAAGTCTATTTTCTTGAGCGAAGTGTTAGCTAGAGATATAAACTGGTAAATCATAAGTGTATACACGTTTTTAAATTTTATTTTTAAAATTTTTTGGAGGGGGAGATAATTAGGTTTATTTATTTGTTTATTTATTTATTTATGGGCGTGCTGGGGATTGAACCCAAGACCTTGAGCATGCTAACTAAGTAGGCATTTCTATACAGATAATTTTTAAAGGCAAGCCAACACCACCACCAAAGAGAAGAGGTTTAAAGACTGACCCCAGCAACATTCCAATATTTAGGCATGGGGAGGTACCAGTAAAGTACTTTGAAAAGGAGTAGGCATAAACCAAGGAGAGAATTATGAAAGGAGTGGTGTCCCAGAAATCAAATGAAGTGATTCTAAACTCAAAAAGTGATTAACTAGAGCAAAGCTGGTGATGGGTGAGTTAATAAAGAAACTGAGACATGGCCATTGCCTTTGGGTGGACAGCTATTGCTGACCTTCACAAAAGCTCTTTTTTTGTGGAGTGGTAGGATGGACAAAAACCTGAGTACCATATTCAAGAGAGAAGGGAAGGTTCTCTCCCAAGACCTTTCAACAAATTCTGCTAAAGAAAGATTAGCTGAGCTGGAAGAGATTGGAGAGGGGAGACACTGAAGGTTGAAAAGACAGAACACAAGTGGTCTGGAAGTGTGGGAGAGTGAATGAATTAGGAAACTTCAGTGGAATTGCTGGCCATTTGAAGTTATAAGAGACAAATCCGTAGAGCTGTGTGCTTTTTTCCAGGCCCCATTTAACTGCTGCAGAACAATAGAACGTTGTAAGCTGTAATGAGTTTTAAGGTAGGATGGAGGCAGGAAAAAACCTTGACTACAGAGTATAGTAATGTTCAGTCTGGTGGCTCACAGAAGGTGAGAGGACTGAACATCTGGGCACAGCTTGGAGGCAACAAGCTTGAGACTACAGAACCAAAAAAAAAAAGAACAGTGCTAGGAGAGGTGGTTCTAAACAAAGAGGTCCTTTGGTCCTTTTCAGACAGCAAGCACAGCAGAAGGGGTTCGATAAAGGCCGTACCAGACCAAGGAAGGAGACACTGCCGCCTAGGAGATTCGAGGGCTGCTGACTGAACACTGATGCAGCAAGAGATAGGATCTGAAAGGCCTCCCTCCGGCGCCTAAGGGATAGACTAAGGTTTTAGCGCCGGGACTTACACGGTGAGGTTCAGCTGCTTGCGGCTGTTTACCGGAGAGATGGGCATGGTGGCGACTGGCTGGCTGGAGAGTGGAAGACCACCCGCTTTCCCTGGCTGTTTCTGGAGTCCCTGTACCCCAAATCCCAGCGTTAGCGGCTCCGGCCGAGGCACTATAATGTTTGCCCGGCGTCATGGAGACGGTGGAGCCCTGGCTGAACAAGCGGCCGCGCGGTTGGCTGGCGGCTGGAGGCCGAGGAGGAGGGCGGAGGCGGAGGGGAGGGCAGAGGGTTGGTGGAGCAAGAGGAAGCTCCGGACGACGACTAGAAGAAGGAGGCGGGCGGCCCCGGCCCCAGGCCCCTCCCAGGCTCTTGAGTCTTCCCGGCTGCAGGCGGATGGATGGGGCTTCTTCAGGCGGTGGCGCCAGCAGCGAAGGTGGCGGCGGCAGCAGCGGCAGCGGCTGTAAGTGCAGCCTCCATAAACCGTCTTTCCTCTCCTAGTCCTGTTTGGGATAAGGGGCTCCCGAGATGTCCTCGGTCCCCTTTCCACCTTCCCCTCCCCCACCGCAGAATGCCGCCCGGAAGACCCTTAACTTCCGGGGAGGGGTTACGTGAAAGCTCCCGGCTCTATTCCCCTCCCCGAGTGGCGCCGGCCCCCCCCAAGGCGCATGCGCAGCGCTCCTCAGCCTCCCACCCCCGCCCAGCCGGGTCTTTTGCTTTGACGGTGGCGGCGGAGCCTATCTACCCCGGCGTCCACGGCGCGCCGGGAGTCCGCTGCGGAGTGAGTTCGCCTCGCCCTGTCCGCTTCCGCCCTTTTCTCCAGTCTGCCCCCAGAGCCTGTCGGGGTGGGGCTAAGCTGACCACCCCCCTGTGGCTCCGCCTCTTTTCCAATGTATCTCGGGTTCTGTCTCAACCTCGGGAGGCTCCGGCTCCCACTGCAACCCCTGTGGTGAGCCGGGTCCACCGCAAACTGGCTCTTTTGGAAGGGAGTGAGGTAGGGAAGAGAGGCTCGAAGAGGGCATTATTGTGAGGGAATGAAGTCCTCCCCGCCCGTAGGGGATCGCTGGCGACAGATGCCTCCTCTGCGTTTGAATGGCCTTGTTCTTTAAGCTTTTAATGGAAAGATCTCTGGTCTGGAGCCCATTTCTGGTCTTCGTTTGCTGTGTGACCTTGGGCGAATCACTACCCCTCTCTGGGCCCGTTATCCCTAAATCTTTCTCCAACACTAAAATCCTTAATTTTGCAGAAAAGCTTATGCAGTTACAAGACTGGCCCGTCTCCTGAGGCCGCTTAGCCGAAATGACCTGGAGTTGAGTGAACCTTTCTTCAGTCATGGGCGGAATGAGGCGACCTATTTATCGGGTCGCTTTTATTCCTTTACCATTGGTTGCAAATTGCATAACTCAAGGCTCATTAATGTTTTTCTAAAATTGTCATGGGGTTACTGTCCTAATTCCTGGCCATTTGTTTAAAGATTGAGACATAGTGAATGGTGAGCTTGCGACATCATCATGGTCTTTGGTCTCACTACTACTGAGGCTCTCTTTCCTTTGATCCAGATGGTGTGGTGGCTCGATTCTCCCAGTGCCTGGCTGAGTTTCGGACGTGGTTAAGAACCAACTGGTTGAGGTTCAATGCAGACAAGACGGATGTGATGCTGGTAGGCAGGGGCACACTTGGAGATTAAGGGAGGGAAAGTCCAAACTCCCTCAAGTAATATAAATGTTATATTATGCTTCCAGTGTTTGAGAACTGCTGATGGGCCAATGATTTCCAGAGTTTGGGTGAGATAAAAATAACATGTCAACAATATAAGAACTATCAAAATATCAGTTTGTGATAATCTGATAAAATGAGGTCACTGGATAAAACTCTTAACGAAGGAAAAACCAGAACTGTTCTTTGAAAAACCAAAAAGCTATAATACGTGTTTAGGGGTAGCATTAATAATAAAAATCAAACCAACAAAAAGATGGTGTTGATTGTTGCATAGATGTGGGGCTTCCAAATGTAATGAATTACTGCTTTGCAATGTACATTCTGCCTGCTAATGTAGAGGTAAAGCTCTCAATTTCTCTCAAATGTCATTTTAAAAAATGTTTTTGGCATTTAGGTATTTTCAACCAAATTAGTAGTTATCCTTAAATTTTTACCTGCATATTATGTATAGGCTGTAGTTTTAAATAAAAATTTTAGGAACGAATTTACAAAATAATCTCAAAGGGGGCTCATGGAGTCTGAAGATTGTTAGATATAGAACTTGGTTTTAGGGTTTTGAATGTACCATATTAATCTATTCCATTCAAATAGCCCCAGACTCTAAATTTTTACAGGTGTTTTCTTGGTGCATTTGAGAGGTGCCTTTTTGAATTGCATAACATGTTTATATAGTAAAGGTATATGTTACTTATATTCGAATCAGGCGTTGGTACTGAATAAAAGGTTATATTTCCTAGGTATATGTAAATTCCTAGGTTAATTTATTGGTTAGCTTAAGGTACTGATTGAAGTAAAATCGAGACTTTAAAATATTTTTGTTCATAGCAAAATAATAACTTTGACAGGGTTCGTGTGTGTGCATGTGTACTGCAGCCTCTATAAAACTGTTTAATAACTTTTTAATGGAGTATTCAGTAAATTCCTTAAAAATAATTTCCCAGTATAATAGCAGTTTTGAGTATCTTAATGTGGTAAAAGCTCATGTTACTTTGCCTGAAAGTAAGGAAGCCTTTAGGTGGGGAATGGGAGCTAAAGAGGCATTTATTCAGGCTTTGTGGAGTAATTTGTTTTGTTTTGGGACATTAGCCACAAACCTCACATGTAATTGGAATTAAATAGTCTACTACACAATTCTAACAGAACTACCATTTTGGATATCACAATAATAAAGACTATAAACTAATAACTTTAAACAACTCATAGGTAATGGTGAATTTTCTCATGCCTTCAACTTTGTAATGTTCTGTTTTTAGCTCATCTATTATCAATAGGTTTACAGATTATTTTTGTTAACCCAAGTATAAATACTGAGTGTTTGTATTTGAATACAAAGACGACATCTGTTGAATTAATCCAAAATGCTGAAGAACTCAGGGTAATGGGTGGAAGTAATAAGGAGGTAAATCATGAAAAGAAGAATGGTCTAAACATTAGAGCCGTTTTGAAAAGAGCAGCCTCTCCATGAGACAGTAAGTCACCGGAGGTGATTAAGCATAGGCAGAAAAGCCTGGCAGTGGGGAAACAGGATGAGAGCTTCCTACCTAGACAGGGTAGAAACTGACTATCAACCTCTAAGGTCCCATCCAACATTATGATTCTATGGTAATGAATAATTAATTCTTACATATTTGATACTGAAGACATAAGCAAGAGTTTTGAGAAAGACTTTGCTTTCCTTAAGATGGCTCCTACAGTTTTTAAAAATAAGTATGTCACTAGAATAAAATGGGATTAGAACTATACTAAATTTAGTAGTAATATGTTACAATATTGGAGCTGTTTCCTTTTACCTTTAGAATATTTGAACCTTAAGAAAAAATCACTGAACCCACGTTTACAAAAAAAAAGGAAGGAGAAAAATGTAGAGGGGATTTTCCCCCTAAGCAATAAAATGCCACTTAAAATTAGTAAAATTGATACACGATATGAATAAACTTGAAAGTCATTTATCAGTAAGATGGATATCTATTCAAATATGTCCCAGACCTCAACATTCCTGACAATTTCACAATTCATTCAGTAGATTAAGGGATTTGCTCCCCACCTCTTTATCACAATTGGGATTTTTGTTGATGGTTTAACTGAAGAATCAAAGATTAAATGGGCTTAAGCAACTGAGTTATTCCTGTACCTTGCATTTTGACAACACTTTTTAATTTTCCTTTTGGTAACCAGTTAAATTTCATATGTTAGCTTTCGTATTTAAATGGATAATCCTCCTTCAACCAGATGGTTTTAGAAAGCCTGAGTTTCTACCTCTAGGCTCCTTATTCTTTTTATCTTTACCCACCTCAGGTCTGCGCACATCCATTGTTCTTTGCCTTCACAGCTGTTTCCATCAAGCATCTCAAAGTGAAAACTTTGAAAATGAACTGACTTGTAAAAAAGTCTTTTCTATTTCAAGTGCAAAGAACTAAGGTAATTCAACAGGGTTACTCTTAGAAACTATATACCTATGCTAAAATATTTATTATCCCAAGGAATCCTGAAAAATAAGGATTTTTTTATATAAGTATTCTAAAAAATAAAATGAAAATACTTACGGTACAGTTAATGGTAAAAATTGTTTGTAGATTTGGGAACCTTAAAGTTTTCCTTTCTCTTCTTTCCCTTGCTTTTCTTTCAGTAGAAAATGTGCATCAGATGTTTATGTTTAATTGGTTTACAGACTGTCTGTGGACTCTTTTCCTGTCAAATTACCAGGTAATGTCCTTTCACTTAGCAGCTACTTCATATACCTATAAATGCACAAAATATTCATGCACAAGTTATTGTTGGACATAAGAATTTCAAGTTAATGTTGACTCTTTGGAAATACGAAACTACTAATAGAGTCTAGCATTTTAAGGGAATACAAATAACTTAAAACAGCCTTCCCACATTGTGTTGTAAGTTAAGTATCAATTTAAAAATTGTATGTGTGCACATTTATGCAATATATTGTAGTGCTTGCATCAGATTATTTGGAGGGAATTATTTTCATATATAACTGACTTTGGTAGTCATTTCTGAAATTGCATTAAGAAGAACCCTTGAACATTTGGGGGGAATGTCTTTATGAAGTAAGACTTTTTAATTCCTGATTTGGTAAAATATGTTAGTGCACGTTTTAATAGCACGTTTTCGTTACCCGGTATCTGCCTTAGTAATGGAAGTGAAACATGTTTGTTATTTCGCAATCATTGGCTCTGGCAATCATCAGAATTATCATCAAAGCCAATTGGCAGTTCTAGGACAATACATTAACAGAAACTTTTAAATTGCAGGCATTTCAGGGATTGCAAATAAGCAAATTCTCCCTCCATGCAGTGGAGTCGGAAATTATTTATATCCATCAAAGAGCAGCTTGTTAGTATTTCACATTTAAAAATTTTCTCTAGTGCAGAATTCAGCTGTTGCACAATTATGTTGCTACTGGCATTGCAGAAGGTGTATGAGGAAAAGCAAATGGGATACACGGATGGCAGACCACTTAGCGCAAACCCTTTTCTTAATCTCTGCTCTGACCTCTAAGATTTCAGAATATG